GCTTCCCACACTAGCAGCCCTGGGAGTAGACTTGGCTGCGTTTTCTGTGTGCACTGGGAGCTTCCTGCTCCCCAGAGCCCCTAGTTGACTGCTGCAAGGGCACTGACAGTGGAAGTCCCTGGTGGGGAGTCCAGAGGCCATCTGGAGGAAGGCATAGGCATGGTTCCCTGATCAGGAGAACTCACTCCCTCACTCACTGCTATCCAGTCAATCCCAACTCATAGTAACCCTGTAGACCAGCAGAGACCTGCCCCAGCAGAATTCGGAGGCTGTAACTCTCGATGGGGGTATAAAGTTTCCTCTTTCCCCAGAGGAGAGTCTGGTGGTTTCAAACTGCCGACTTGTCAGTGATGTACCTGGTGAAGGTGCCCTGCCGCTCACTGAAAAGCTGGCGGTTTGAATCCACACGGAGCTTTCTTGGGAGAAAGGTCTAGCGATCTACTTCTGAAATGGCTCTACCCCATTGAGAGTGGCTCCGTTGCTCCTGGCTTTTGCCACTTGGGATGAGAGACTGGGATGGGGTGAAGGGAGGCCAGAGAAGAAGAAGCTGCCCTCGCCCTGACCCATTGGCCCCACCCAGGCCCATGCATTGCTGCTCAATGGCTGGGGGACTTCTCGTGGAGAGGGGAGCACCTCCGGGGAGCAGTGGCCCAGGACTGAAGAGCCTGGCTCCCCAAACACAACACCAAACCGACTGCCCCCAGGTGGGTTAGGGCTCACGGTGACCCTCCCCTCCCCTGCTTCCCAGGCCTCCCTCCGATTACGAGAACTCAGTGGCCCAAGCAGGGGACTCTGGGCCTGTCTCGGTTCTCCATTCACAGCATACACTGACTCCCCAGGCAGTTAAAAGTGGGGGGCATCAGCTCTAGGTCCTCCATCCCAGGAGCCTGAGTGCCCTATGCTGAGTCCCCAGCTCGGTCCTCAGGACAAACCTGCAGGGGCAGAGGGAGAACTTACCCCTTGCCTCCCCACCCCTGGGAGCCCGCATGTCAAGCAGGAAGCTGCCATCCTGATTGCTCAGAAACATCTGTTCCCCATTTGTCATCGTCAAGCTCTGATGTCTTCTGGGACTACCTTTAAGGGCAGTTTTTACTGTTGTCACCAAAAAAAAAAAAAAGGAAGTAAACAATTAGTCTCCCCTCCCCCCCCTTTTTTTTTGGTGTGGGACTTTTTTCCCTGGGCAGAAGTAAGCCTTTTCAGTAAACAGGCACATTACCCAGCGTCCCTCCCCCACAAGCAAGTCTTTTAATGTACCCCCCCCCCCCTCTGCCAAACTCCCCATGTGTTGAGAAACCAGGAAAATGCTATGGAGCTGAAATGGGAGTCAACAGAAGCAGCCGGAAGCCTGCCCTCGTCACCTGGGCAGCTTTCCGCGTCTCTTGAAGGAGACCCAAGGGTTAGTGCTGTGTGCACTGATCTGGATGGTCCCCACCCGCCACCCTTAGCCACACCAGAGCGTGCAGCGCTGTTGGGGGGGGCACCGGCCGTTCTTAGACCTCCCAACTCTTTCCCCAGCACTTCGCGGCAGCCACCCCAGTTGCCAGGGGTGGACTCTGCATGGCTGGCCCTCACTGCTACCCAGTCCATGCTGACTCACAGCGAGCCTGCTGAAGGGCAGGGCAGAACTGCCCCTGCGGGTTTCTGCAATGGTAACTCTCTACGGGAGTAGAAACCTCTTTCTCCATGGTTTTGAACTGTGAGCCTTGCGGTTGGCAGCCCAAGGTGCAACAACTACACCACCAGGCTCCGTGTGTAGGAGCTGTTAATGCTCACACCAGGAGGCCTGGGTGATGTCTAAGGGTGGTCAAGCCCGTGGCTAGCATAAAGGCTACCCTGTTCAAACCCACGGAGAAGAACCTGGGAAGAAAACCCTGGCAAGTCTCTTCAGAAAAATCAGCCCTTGAGACACATCTGATCAGAGCACACAGGAGCAAAGGAAGGGGGAGGGAGAGACAGTGGAGCACATCCTCGCCCACCAAGCCCCAAGGATGATATTCCTGCTCAGAGCAGCCAATGCACAGAGAGGACCAAGGGGCCAGCCCCATTATGAGACATGACGTCCCCCCACTCCCATAGTGCTATGGAGACAACACTGGAGACACAGTGCGGGAATTGTGCCTGATCTGACCCTACTAAACTGAGGCAAAAGACTAAAGGCTTGCAACAGAACAGCAAGGGGAACAAAGCAACGAAGTTCCTGGAGAAAACTAAAAATAGACTGTGGGGCCAGGGCGTGGCACCCCATCAGACTCCACTGTAAAACACCCTGAGGGTCAACAAACAGACCTTGAACTATTTACAGGCTTTTCTTTTTATTGCTGTTGCTTTGTTTTGCTCTGTCTTGTTTTTGTGTTTATTATTGTCTCTGCATGTCTCTCTAGATGAGACAGGTGGGATAAACAATCTGAAGGAGAAAACAATGGGACTGATGGTCCTTGGGGGGACATGGGAGGGGGAGGCAGGGGAAAGGAAGTAGGTGTTAACAAATTCAGGGACAAGGGAACAACAAGCGATCTAAAATCAATGGCTAGGAGGGTGTAGGAGGCCTGGTGGGGCTTGACCAAAGGCAATGTAACCAAAAGGAATTACTGAAATCCACATGAAGGATGAACGTGATAGTGGGACAAGAGGAAAGTAAAGGGAAATAGCAGAAAGAACTAGGAGGCAAAGGGCATTTACAGATATCTAAATACAGGCATGTGCATATCTAAATATATTTTTATATGATGATGGGGAAATAGATCTATATGCATATATTTATAGGTTTAGTATTAAGGTAGCAGATGGATATTGGGCCTCTACTCAAGTACTCCCTCAATGAATGAACACTTTGTTCTAATAACCCGGCTCTCTGTGATGCTCACTTTTGCAACACGATTGCTGAAGACAAAGTAGGCACATACGCAAATGTGGTGAAGAAAGCTGATGGTGCCTGGCTATCAAAAGATATGGCATCTGGGGTCTTGAAGGCTTGAAGATAAACAAGTGGCCATCTAGCTGAGAAGCAACAAAGCCCACATGGAAGAAGCACAGCAACCTGTGTGGTCACAAGGTGTCGATAGGATCAAGTATCAGGCATCAAAGACCCAGAACAAAAAATTATATCATTGTGAATGAGGGAGGGTGGGGAGTGGAGACCCAAAGCCCATCTGTAGGCAACTGGACATTCCCTTACAGAATGATCATGGGGAGGAGACGAGCTAGTCAGGGTGCAGTATAGCACCATTGAAACATACAACTTTCCTCTAGTTCTTTAATGCTTCCTCCCCCCCACTATCATGACCCCAATTCTACCTTACAATTCCGGCTAGATCAGAGCATGTACATGGGTACGGATAAGAGCTGGAAACACAGGGAACCCAGTACAGATAAACCGCTCAGGACTGATATTGAGAGTAGTGATACCAGGAGGGGAAGGGGAAGGTGTGGGGAGAAAGGGGTGACTGATCACAATGATCTACATATAACTCCTTCCTAGGGGGACGGACAAAAGAGAAGTGGGTGAAGGGAAACACCAGTCAGTATAAGACATGAAAAATAATAATTTATAAATTATCAAGGGTTCGTGAGGGAGGGTGGTGGAGGGAGAGGGAAAAATGAGAAACTGATACCAGGGAATCAAGTAGAAAGAAAATGTTTTGAAAATGATGATGGCAACAAATGTACAAATGTGCTTGGCACAATGGGTGGACGGATTGTGATAAGAGTTGTATGAGCCCCCAATAAAATGATTTTTTAATATGAAAATTATAATTTATCAAGGGGTCATGGGAGGCGGTAAAAAGACGAGCTGATGCCAAGGGCTCAATAGACAGTAAATGTCTAGAAAAGAATGATGGCAACATAGGCACACCTATGCTCTATTCAGTTGGTGTATAGGTTGTGCTGAGTTTCAGGAGCCCCCACAAAATGACCTTTTAGTAATGAAAAGAAGAAAAACCAGCGCTTGAAAGCCCTGTGAAGCGCAGTTGTGCTCTGACACCCATGCAGGCCCCGTGGGCTGGGGTCGCCATGAGGTCGGGACCGCTCGCTCCACAGACACTAGTCTGGTTTTGTCTGTAAGCCCGCACTGGATTCAGAATGGCCACTACCCGCCCAGTCTGTGGGGGGACTGAGGGTGTGTGATGGGACCAGCCCCACCAGGTGTTCATGAAGGGCCCTGGTTGGTCCCAGGGTTCCCTCTCTCTGCAGAGGCCAGGAAGACCTGGGGCCATTCTTCTTCCGGACTTCAGGGACATTTTCCAGGTTGGGAGAGCAGGCTTCCCGCCCCACCCCCCACCCCCCACCCTCGCCTCCCACCGCAGGAGACAGAGGAGCCTGGGACGTGACTCCCCACTGACTTAGGGAAGGCCTGGCTCCTCTCAGCTTCCTGCTTTTCTTATAACCAAGTGCAGGCTTTGCTGCCAGGGACACCGTCTCTGGAAACAGCACGCCTGTTTTCTCTCACAGGTCTGCAGGCCACCAACCCGACTCGGCCCCTGGACTCAAGTCCAGGTGCAGGCAGGGCTGGTTCCTTCTGAAGGCTGGAGGGGAGAGTCCCGGCCCCGATGTTGGAGGCCAGCTCTATCCCTTGGTTTGCACCACTCTGGTCTCTCCCGCCGCTGTCAGGTGGCCATCTCTTATTTGACCTCTTTGCCCCCTTCAGAGAAGACCCCTAAGGGCTCATGCTAATAACTTTACTCACCTCAGCTTAATCCCTTTTGTCATGCTGGATAACATGCTCACGTTCTGGGGACTGAGATGTGGACATCTTCGGGAGATTCATGTTCGGCCTCACCCAGGAAGTTGCAGTTGGCGATCCTTGGACAGCTCCTGCGTCGCTTGTGTGGCACTTGCAGTAACCCTGGTAACCAATGAGCCACCCACCTTCACGGGAAGAGCTCCGCAGGGCCCCCATCTATGTAGCACCCAGGTCCTGCTGGGCCCTCCTAGTGATAACTCCGCTGTTCTCTCTCTCTCTCTCTCTCTCTCTCTCTCTCTCTCTTTCTCTCTCTGAGCAGGATTCAAATGCCGACTTCTGCCCACGGGCCTGAGAGGTACCAGCTCATCCTGTTCCACCTGGTACAGCCAGGACTTGGGAGTCATGCTGTCTAGCTCAGCAGCGCCGTCCATGGTGTTCCTGCTTCATGCCCATTCTGTGAGTTTGGCTTATTTGTTCATCTTTAAAATCCCTATCGACAAAGATGTTTGCACAACACCCAGGGTAAAAGATGGCTTTGAGTTTTGCGGTCAGCCAGCAGCAGGCCGGCGCGGTAGAGTGCTGGCAGGGCACCTCAGTCTGCTACACAAACCCATCAGTGGCTGGCAGACGGGCAGTCTGCTTCCATAATGAGGGAGCAGGTACGGGGATGGGTGAACACTACCAGTGGGAGCAGCCTGTTTCCCTAGCATTGACTGGGCCGCTATTGAGCTGCCGAAGCACTTCAGAGAGGGATCACTCACCTGCGACTGAAAAGTCACAGAATGCTACCTGTTGCTCCTTCTTGTTTGCTTTTTGGCTATTCGCTACAATGTTCTACTTAACCATCTCTCTCCTAAATCAGAAACAATAGCCCAGGTTGGCTTGTGGTTGAGGGTAGGGGTGTTTGGACTAGTGAAGTGGACGTTGGTGCCACATCATTGAAGGGCTTGGAAGGACTCACCTCTACACACACCGCCCTGGTGTGAAGAGGTTACAGCACTCAGCTGCTAACCCAAAGGTCCCTGGTTGGAAACCACCAGCGGCTTCACTGGAGTGATGTGCTGGAAGGCAGTGGGTTTGGGGACTCTGACTCGAAGTCCATGTACCACACTCAGAAACCTCTAGGACAGCAGTTCTCTACCTGTGGGTCATGACCCCTTTGAGGGTCAAACGATCCTTTCACAGGGGTCCCCTAAGACCATCAGAAAACACATATGGCCCATGGCCTTAGGAACCGAGACACCGCTCCTCTATCCGTCTCCAGGTGGGTCCGCCCACATGCAGATAAGCCCACCTACGAGTACCTGGCATGAAGACTGTTACCCATGCTCCACCATGCTTTAAGACAAAATTTCATTTATTTGTCATTAGAAAAAAATATTTCACAATATATAATGACATATTGTTTTTGTGATTCATCACTATGCTTTAATTATGTTCAATTTGTAACAATGAAAATAGATCCTGCATATCAGATATTATATGACGATTCATAACAGTAGCAAAATGACAGTTATGAAGTAGCAACGAAAATAGTTCATGGTTCGGGGGGTCACCCCAACATGAGGAACTGTATTAAAGGGTCCTGCCATTAGCAAGGTTGAGAACTGCTGCCCTAGGAGTTCTCTTATCATTGTGAAGCCGCATTCACTAAGCCCCGGGTCGTTCACCCACAAACTCATAGGGATGTTGCTTTTGGCTCCTTCAGTGCTGGCTCTTGCTATCCAAAACCTCCAGGAGTTCATGAGAATAGATAGATTTTCATGACAGGATAAATCCCAATAGTTGGCTCTGTTCTGACATGGTGTTTATGCCAGGTCACTGTGGAAACTGCTTTCTCTAGAGGAGAGTTCATCTAAATTTCAAAGGGGAGCAGTTTCCCTTAAGCTAACCCAGCTCAGTCAAGCCTACACTCGTGTGTGTGTGTGTGTGTGTGTGTGTGTGTGTGTGTGTGCCCTCTCAAGTGTCTCTGGGTCGACACTCACTTGATGGCAGTGGGTTTTGTATCAGGAATAGACCTTGGCACCAAAGTATCTCCCAACTCTGACCATGGAGAGTTTTGAATGGCCTGCCTCCAATACTGAGATCCGCTAGAATTGCATCAAGGCACCACGATAATATAGCAGTTAAGCACCTAGTGACTGACCCTCAAAACCGGAGGTTCCAGCTCGCCCAGTGCCTGTGTAGGAGGAAAACCTGTTGGTCCGCTCCTGTAAAGATTGCAGCCTAGGGAACTCTGTGGGGCAGCCCTGTCTGTGAGTCACAGTGGACAGGGCAGCACCCAGCAACAGAAGTAAGGGCATACCTCCCTGTGTGTCACAAAGACAACCCTATAACTCGCTGCTGCGTCTTTTCTCTTTAATAACTGAGCTCATCGTGTCCTTGAGGCCCCATTGCTATTGCTGGCAGCAAAATATTTTACTAATTAAAGACTCTTGGAAAACCTCCCACTCACTGAGGTCCAAGTTACGGTCACCTCCCAATGTTTCTAGTACTGGGACAATCGGGATGTGTGACTCGTGCTGCAGGGGAGGGTTGGGCCTGTCAGGAAGCATGGCTCCCCACTCCTAGTTTTCAGGGGCCAGCCCCTGAGCTTACTATGATCTCTTCCCAGGTGTCCATGGCCACAGTGACCTGCTCTCCCCACCGTCATTACCATCCTAGGATGACTCGGGTGCATGCCCACACTGACTGAGCAGAAAGCCAACATAGGCTTACACCACAATTTGTCTACCTGTTGACCGGCTGGTGGTCATCTCAGCTAGGTCCACCTTTGGAATACCATGAATGAATCTGTCAATAACATGTACGTATGATTTTGTGAATAGCTGTTTTTAATGATATCTTGGGAAAGTGCCTTGGAGAAACATTGCTAAGCCACACTGTACGCGTATGACTAATTTGTACTTGCCAAACAGTTTTCCAGAGTGGTTTCACACACCTATCAGCAAAAGACCAGCTTTCCAGTTGCTTTCTCTCTTCATCAACATTTTGTGTGGTCAGTTTTTTAGCATGCTAGTTCGTGGGACATGGTATCTCATTGTGGTTTTCGTGATGTGTTGGGCTGATAATCTGAAGGCCGGCAGTTTGAAACCACTAGCAGCTCTGCAGAAAAAAGAGGAGGCTCTCTACTCCCACAGAGAGTTCCAGGCTCGGAAACCCGCAGGGGCAGTTGTACCTGCCCTAGAGGGTCACTATGAGTTGGTATAATCAGTTCGATGGCAGTGGGTGTGGGTTGGATCTTGGAATTGCTAATTATGTTGATTACCTTTTTAATGACCCTATATCCCATGTCGCTGAGTCGGTTCTGAGTCAGCAACAAAACCATACTGGGTCAACGCGCCCTCACCACCAGGCTGCTTGAAGCCCCTGCTGCAGGCACTGTCAATGCGTCCTGCTGAGGGTCTTCATCTGTGTGTGCTGACCTTTTGTATCACCAAGCACGACGTCATTCTCTCAAGCTTAGTGCCTCCAGATTACATGCCCCACCTACTGAAGACAGAGTCTCACCAAGCGCGCTTCTAAGCAGCATTCTGTATTTCATGACAGAGTTCTTCATCCTTCTTTGCCAATATAATTCAAAGGCATAAGTTTCGTACCTTGGGCATAAGTTCTCACATCTACTTGAGCTATTATTCATCGTCCAGCTGTCACATGAACACTAGGCGATTGAAAATACCATCGCTTTGGTCAGTCACACAGTGGGCTACTAACAGCAAGTTCAAACCCAACAGTTTCTGTGTTTTTAGCCAAGATCCGTCTAACATCAGCAAGGATATTCATCCTTCCGAAACGGGCTTGAATTTCTGGCAGCTCCCCGTCGACAGACTGCTGCAACTGTCTTTGAATTGTCTTCCATGGAACTTTACTTTTGTGTGATGTTAGTATGTTGCTTGATGATTGTTGGAGCACCTATCTTAGGAATAAGACTAAATATGGATTCCCCCCCCCCCACACACACACACACACTTGATTGGCAGGGTAACTGTCTTTCAAATTGCTGGGCAAACACAAAGGAGTGTATACAGTGTTGCATCCCTGTATTGAAACATTTTGATTAGTGGTCCATCAACTCCTGAAGCCTTACTTATTGCTAATACCCTCACTGAAGCTTGAACGTCTTCCTTCCATACCAGAGGTTATAATCATATGCTACCTCCTGAAATACTGAATATCAATCGGTTCTGTTTGGTGCAGTGACTCTGTTATTCCTTCCCTCTTCTTTTGATACTTCTTACTTTTTTTCAATATCTTGCCCAGTATCACAACTGGAAGCATGAGTTCTTTGTTCTTTATCGCTTTCCACTTGAGAAATGCTGGATGTCCCAGTCTTTGCATAGTTCATTTTGATACTTTACTTTGTCCTGTCCGATCTCCCTTTGAAATCTTTTGTTCAGCTCTTTCACTCCATAATGCCTTTTGTTCCTTTTTGCTATTCTATATTCAAGAGCAAGTTTCAGCATACCTTCTGACATCAGTTTCATTCTTTTTTTCTTTTTAATTCTCTTTTGCTTTCTTCGTGTATGATGTCCAAAACTTGCTAGGTCTTTGGTCATTAGTGTGCCATGCATCAAGGTTATTCCTGAGATGGTCTCTAAAGAATGATGTAGTATACTCAAGGTTGTACTTTGGGTCTTTGCCTCTCCCGGATTTAATTTTCCTCATCTTTAACTTGAACTTCCACATGAGCAACTGATGGTCTGTTCTGCAGTTGGCCTTTGGCCTTGGTCTAACTGATGATATTGACCTTCTTCATTGGTTCTTTACCCAGATATAGTCAATTTGATTCCTGTGCATTGCATTCAGCAAGGCCCATGAGTGTGTTAGGCTGGATTCCCTGGAAACAAAACCTGTTCTATCTATCTATCTATCTATCTATCTATCTATCTATCTATCTATCATCTATCTATCTATCTATCTATCTATCTATCTATTGAGAGAGATTTGTATGAAGAAAATCGCTTACGCACTTATAGAAGTGGGTAGGCCCAGTCCAGTTTCAAGTCCATGGGTCAGATGTTAAGCTGGAGCCTTCTCCTGATTCAAGTGGCTTGGGGATTGATGAGATCAGGATTGCAGGAACTCTGTAAGTTGCAGAGGTGAATGGATCCAAGGTCAGATGACAGACCACTGATGGCTCCCCGGATTGGCAGGCAATGTGACAGGCCCTAGGGTCAAGTCCAAAGAACCAAAGGACAATGATCCATATACAGAATCCAAACGCAGCAAAAAATAAGCAGACTTTCCACAGGATCTGTTTATATAAGTAGTTGGCCACACTCCATAGGAAATCCTTCAATTCCATCAGGGCTGTGACCTGAGCAAGAGAGTTGGACCCTATCCTAGAAGTCTGGCCAGAGTACTCCTTAGAGGCAAGGATGGCAAGACTGTGTCTTAGATACTTTGGGCATAGTATCGGGAAAGACCAGTTCCTGTAGAAGGACATCAAGCTTGGA